ATCTCGAAACTTTTAAATTGAGTTGCGTGTCATAGTCAAAAAGTTTGCACACTTTCCGTTAACGCCTCCTCACCCTTAACATACAGTTCCCCTGGCATCCCCCCTGCTACCCCTCCTCATTGATGCTCTTCAAACTGAATACGTGATATCGCCGTATGCCACAATAAATCAACTTTGTCAAATTACATATATATATATATAGACATATTACATATGTATATATTATATGTATGTGCTTATACACCCGCAATTACACACGCACACACACACACACATGCACACGCACTTGCTTGTGTGTGCCTGTGTGGGTGCGCGTGTGTGAACCGTAGCGTAAATACATTCAAATAAACTAATGATTCCCAACTTTTTATATTATGTATGCTGAAAAAAAAAAAAACAAATGTACTCTAACCGGAAGGGAACACTAAGAGTTACCCTGGGATATCCATATCATTCTACAAGAGGAATGATGAGAACCGAAATACTCATTATCTCTATATTCATTATAGCAAATTTCAAGTTTCCGAAGGATCCATTTTTATCGATTAATGAGTTATCGAACAAATTTTAAGCTCTTGTGGTATATGGAAATACAGTAGAAACCGGTTATAACGTCTTCTCTTATATGAGCAAACTTATACGGTTATAGCGTCTTCCGTGTATAAAGACGGTCCCTTGAGCGTCGTCATACCCATATAATACTGCATATATTTTTACTATACATATGCGTATTATTTTATATTTTTCTATACTCCATCTACCACGCCTTCGCTTGTCTATTGCAAACTCTTATCCGGAAACAAACCACCCTAAATGACCCTTTTCAATGAGCTCGCTGTATACTAATTTATAAAAGGGTCTCATAAAGTTGCCAGCTCTATGCCAGACCAAATAGTTTTGAAAACTCTCAAAAAATTTTGTATACTACATTTATTGTTGATGCGATACATCATCTCCCAACTTTTAATTGGTATTTTCCTGTCCAAATTGAGTGGTAAGCAAATCTATCAAAATGAAAAATGCAAATATGGAAAAGAGCAACAACAAAATATCCCCACGTAACGCAGCACAACACAAAATTGCCTAAAGTAACGTATTGTTAGTCAAGTCACGGCATAGACTGAAAATCCCTGATTTCAAAGTTTTTATTGGATCATTTGATATTGCATTGAAATTGAATGAAATTTGTTATAGACGAATCCAAGTCAAGTTAGGCAAGAACTTTACAGCCGACTATACAATACGCGCTCCAAGTACAAATTGATATTCGATATCTCTGCTAAGATAGATAAAATAGAATAGAAATAGTTTATGGAAATTAAGAAACTAACTCTTAACAAGACCAATATATTCCATTCAATTTTGAATACAAGTAAAAATATATATGAATAGATTATAGAGCTAGAATTTGTTGTTAAAAAAAAAACACACACACATACATTTATTGATCGATATATGTAATAGATATACAGATGATATCAAATTGTAGTCACATATCCATCTTTGGTTATATTTTTGGTAGAGTTTTGTTGGTCTGAAATGTAACCTTAACTATTGTACTATATATAAAGTAATACCTAAGGCAAGAACTTTACTACAAATATAACATTTGTATTCGCATGAATATATATTTGTATACACGAGTATGATATTCATACCACTCCATTGTTCAGTATGAAATAATACATAGGCAGGCAAATAGTTCTTTAACTATACATATATGCGTGTGGCTCAATGTATTTTATTTGTTATAAGTTACCATAGCACGAAACAAGAAAAGCTAAGAGGCAGATCAGTTTGTTTTCAGCTTCGCTTGGGATATCTCATTGTCGCTTTGCTTTGCCAGAGCCAGAGTCCAACAGATGATCCAAAGGGGAAAGAAAACCGTGCAAGCCGCAAAATAAAGCCAGTTGCCATAAATCTACAAGAGATGAATCACAAATATGAACTAATCATTGGAGAAAGTGCTCCGATCGATCGCACTCACCACTGAATCAATAAGCGCAAAGGTAACCGCATCCATGACAGCGGTGACGGCGCGCAGCAGCAGCTGTTGGAATGTCAGTTCGGGGAATTCATAGAAGGTCAAGACCAGGACGACGGTGTAGATGACCACCATCGGGTTCAGTAGCAAAGCCCACAGACGTGCCAAGCCGCGCAATGCGCCATTCGTGCTGCTTGGGTTAAGGGCCACGACCATGGGCACCGACAGCACCGCTACCAAGAAGCCCAGCGAGAAGTTGAGCAGTCCAATGACAATCAGAGCACAGCCATAGACGAGCAGCATACAGATGTGCAGCAGCTCCAGTCCGCCAGGAGGCAACACCACATAGAACGGCAGAGCAATCCCAGCCACATTGAGTGCAATCAGCATGGTTAGAGTAAGCGGCCCAGCGCCTATTGATAGTTCCATAAGGTATTTCTGCAGCGGCAGCACATTGCCCATGTAGCCGATGACGAGCGTTACAACCAAATAGACCAGTACAAAGCCATATGGCAACGATAGCTTCGTATAGAACACAACTGGATCTGTTTCATTTCCAGCTGCGTCCTGCTGTGCGTGACGCTCTGCGGCATCTAATGTGGACCAGGACAAATACGCCTTGACGAAGCTGCAGGCGATAAGCGCCACCAGGGCGGGCATGTAGTCGCCAATGGATATGTAACGATCGTTGTGTACAATCACGTAGAAGAAGAAACTCTGATGGAAGCGTTCCAGCAAGTTGTTCAGGCTGCGAGAAATGCCCTCGATAGACTTTAAGAGGGGCACGGTCGCCGAGCTCGGATTGGACTTGACATTGGAGTTGGTAACACGCTTGGCAGCAGATAGGGTCAGAGCATCGATGCGGTAGCGATGGAAAAGTCCATGATTGCCATTGGGCACGCCCGTTGCCTGTGTCGCCAGCATGGCCAGCATTTGGCGTAAGTTCTGCTCGTAAGGGGAGAGGTTCATGCGACGCCTCTTGCGCGGCGCATGCTTGTACCCAGAGGTGACGCCCTCGCGTGCCATGATGCGCTGCACCAAGTTGAACATATCCAGATTGGGCAGCTTGCCATTCAATCCCTCGACCTTGACGTCAACATAATCTGCAAAAACACATCGGTTATTCAGCACATGATGGCTCATGCCAATTGTATGGGAAAACCAACCGACTTCCAAGTCCTGCACTTCGATGTTTAACGCTGCTTGCAGCGAGCCGGCGCGTGCTGGTAGGCTTCCAGCGACCAGGTACGAACTGCTACTGTGATAATTTTTGTAGCCGTCGTGGTAGGCCTCTAGCCAGGCCTGCATGCCCAGCTGCTCCTGCTCGGTGACCAGGAATACCAAATCCTTGGCCCAGTAATTTTTACCTGCCAAAAGAAAACTGCTCTAAGCCAACACTCTAGCTGTGTGGCAATTATGTGCTACTTACGTCTGGCAAAGTCGGCGAAGGCCAATAACACTGGCACGCTAGCCGTTATTTCGTCATGCACCGAGCTTGGTGGACGATACGGTGCCGAGAATACTAAACCCTCAGTGGAACCGATGCGCGGTGCACGCAATATGCCATAAACGTTCTTGCCATGGAACTCTTTGCCGCCACCGAACGGATAGCGTAGCGTAAAGTTATGTGTGTATGTCTCCAAGCCAAACTCATTAAACTTGGCCATAATCCAGGCGTGCGGCGTTGTGGACTGATGGTCTTTACGTTCGCGCTGCAACTCCTCTAGCAGCTGGAGAGCTAGTCGATTGGCATCTATGCGTATCTCAGGATACACCAAACCTGCAATTATCATTGTTACAACTGCAGCAGAATCAACCAGTTGTATACGCACCTGGTGATAGGGCATTCTCTGATAAGTAAGTTCCATGGTTGAATTCCGGTAGGGCGAGGCACATAAACCAGGCCACACCCGCTGTGTAGAAAACATAGCACAGCTTGCGCATATGCTTCGCAAGGCTGTCGACCAACTTATTATGTGTTGAAATTGACGGATCCGATAGAAGACCCATTTTTACAGGCTCTTATTTCCATAAACCAGTAAGCAAACAAAATTTAGCCGGCACAGCTAGGGCTGCAAATATTCAGTTTATGCTGTCGTTAGTCAAGTCAAACAGCAACTAGGGATACCTTATTCGGTTGCTCTGTTATCGATATTTGAATTTCGTACTTTTATTAGAGCTAAAATAACATCGATTTTTTTTTTATGTTTTTCAAATTTGATATCAAAAATATAACTGAGTACAAAAATTTCATGTAATTTCGTGAATATCAATATGTGTGCACATGAGTTAATTTGCAAGGTATTAAATGCTAATAAATTAAAACCCCAATTCTGTCATTTTTACCAAGTATGTTAAATCGATGCGACGTGACGATGATTTCACTAATTGTGGTCTTCATCGATAAAACGTGTTTCGATTGCAGTATTTTTTTGGCGCAATTCATCCCAAATATTTGAGAGCTTGAAAAAAAATTATTTTAATTAATTAATCTTAATATTATAAATAAACAAATGTCAATTCCTAAATAACTTTAAAATATATATATATACATATATATATATACAACATATCAGCGGCATAATTATCCACGAATATTCGACAGAATAAAAAACTAGCTAAAAAATACTACACTTTAAACCATTAACTAGTAAATATTACAAGTGGCTAATCATAAAATGTTATTAGTTGAGAGCTATAGCATATACGTATAAACAGTTCTATAACTTTTTAAGACCCAGTGGCACATACCACTAACTAGAGTTAATGCACATACGCATTCAAATTGTAATGAAAATTAAAAAAAATTAATTGCAATACCAATAAAGTTTTACCTATAATACATTATTATAGTATAATATGATATAGAAATTTGAAATTTAAACTAATATAACTCACGTAATAACATAAAGACATTTCATTTTAAAAATACTGAACTTCCTTAACAGCTTAATCGATTAATCGCATACTATTTTATTTTCGTCTTTAAAAAAGCGATATATCGATAGCGCTAAAAAAAAGCCCTGGGTTAAAGGTCCCATCCCTGCGCGAAATACACAAAGCAAAAGTGAAAAAAGCATACAAAAATAATAAAAGTTCAATTAAGAATCGAACCTTTGCGTCGCACAGTTAAGTTGTTATTACGAGGCGTACACAGAATATATTTAGAGCTACAGACAAATCGAAATTACAAATTGTAATCAGCGCATCAGATATAAATATCACAGTAGCCATTCAAAATGGCCACCAGCGAGATTTCTAGCTCCAATGAGCGGCACTACTACGCTAAGCTGGAGGCCATCAAGGATATACGGGACAAAACGTTGGCCCTGGAGAAGCTCAAGGTGCGCATCATTAAGGAGGTGAAGCTAAGCGATGACGAGGAGAAATGTCTGGACGAATATCGCAAGGAAATGGAGCATCTGCTTGAGGAAAAGATGTCTCATGTGGAGGAGCTCCGCCAGATACATGCTGACATCAATGACATGGAAAACATTATTAAGCAGACGAAGGAGAATCAAACGCGCTCTTTCGATATGGCCAATCGTGTGTACGAAGAATACCTCGCTCTCAAATATCAAATCGACCACATGCGACGCGACTACCTGGGTCTCAGTCCTCTCCGAGACCTACACGAAGAGGAGGGCAGCCCCATATCCAAGGATCGCTTTCAGACAAACTTTCTCAAAGTCGCCGCACAATCTGCGGCCGTGGCAGCAGCAGCAGCCGCAGCGGCCGCCGTCACACAGCCCACATCTTTGGCGAGACCCCATGCACGGCATCCGCTAATGGCGGAGGCCACCGTGACAGCAATGCCGCCGAATTCGGCCGGTGCGGGTGGAGGCGGTGGCTCCAATGTGCCCAGCAGCGGTGGTGGTGGACCGGGACACGCGTTCATGCCACCAGCTCCGCCTGGGGCACCTGGCAGCGCTGGCGCTGCCGCAGCTGCGGCCGTGGCTGCAGCTCGTCTTGGCAAGAGCGACTTTTCAGCACCACCGCCGCCGCCGCCGACCACAAATCGATTGCAGCAGTCACCATCCATCGGGATTGGACACCATCCATCTTTTCGCTCCGACTTCAACGTAAACCTGAGGCAGCAGCCGCCCCCCATGAAGTCCTGCTTGTCTTGCCACCAACAGATTCATCGAAACGCGCCCATTTGTCCGCTCTGCAAGGCCAAGTCGCGCTCACGCAACCCCAAGAAGCCCAAAAAGAAAAACAATTAATTGCCGCCAATGCTCCCATCAATTGTATTCTATATGTTCCATCAAATTGGAATTTTTACTAATTTAACATTTTCGATTTGTTTTTTTTTTTTTAATATTTTATTTTGTTCATTTGGTTTTTTACATATGTATGTACTTATTTATTAACCCAGCGACGGTCAAGAGCCGCACATTGAAAGTATTACATTTTTCTCATAACCATTTGCTTGTAAGCTGCTAAGAAAATACAAAACTATTCTCAGATTCTGTCAACCATGCTAGTTTTGCATGTTATCTATAAGTTCTAATTGTATGTGTAGACATATTACAACATAAACGAAAGCAATTATCGTGTCAAACTAAACCTAATTACTTTTTTTTTATACGTGTAAGCATTCAAGTGAATAAACAACAAAATTTTTCAAATTTCGTTTCCAACTTTTTTGACAGTTAAAGCGAGGAAGAGAAAAAAGGTGAATGTGACCGAATGATCGTGACTAAAAATTTTTGTCATTCCATTTTGCTTAGTCGATTGTAAAACATCGAAAGTTTCACACAATTATCGAAGTGCTGTCAAATATTTTCATTATTTCGTCCTGCTGGTCGCTGGAAAGAGTTCTTATATTTTTTACGTACGCTCTTTAAAGTGGAAGGTGAGTTATCCAATATCCAAGTGTGAAATTGTAGGATTCTTAACTATAAACATATTTAATTTAATAAGCAGAACAAGAAATAAGAACTTCCAGAGGTTAAATACCTTTGCGAAAAGAAGCCGCAGTGAAACATTGAATAATTATTTAGAGACATATTAGGTTCATTTTGCTATTAATCTGCAATATTTCTTTAGCGTGATATAGCTCAAAATTGTTTATATCAAATTTAATTCTTGTTATTTGAAAGTCATATTTTGTGCGAGTGTTGCGCACTCGCAGTATTTTATTGTTTAACAGCACTGTTTGTCGCAAGGTTGCCAGATCGGCGCAAGCTCAAAATCGAAATAGAGATCTGGCTTAAAAGAAATTACCACCGAAAAGAACGCAACAGACTTAACTGTGGCCCGACAAAAGTGGCACATGCGAAAAAGGAAACAAACGAAGCAACAAACGATAAAATACAGAGTAAAGGCAAGAGCTTGCCATTTTTGTTATTAACCATGTAAGTTAAAACGAAGCGTTAAGAACTAATACGATTTGAACGCATCAGTGCGGCTGGCTATAACTGTTTCTGTCAGCTACGTTGCTCACACTTGCTCTCGCCGTTGTTTTTGTTGTTGCAGCTGCGTGCACAGAATTTGTGAAAAGAGAAAGTTTGAATTGGCTCTCGTCTTGACTCGCCTTGTTGACTGCTTTCTGGGCGACTTTAGGGAGAACTCGCTCTCTGGCTGACTAAATAACGAAAACAAGTGAATCAAGCGACACTCTGAGAGTTCAAGCTGGTAAGAATTGAGTTGTGCATTGCTTTCACAATATTCAAAACATTCATTCTATATATAATCAAGGCGAGAATCTTACAGAAAATGGGACTAAAGAAGACCGTTCTACACAACAACAACAACAATGAAGGCAATGACATTGCCAATGGCAAGATCCGTGGCTCGCCTGCATCTGCCTCTGGCAAGCTCCGTGGCTCGCCTGCAGCTCCCTCTGGCAAAATCCGTGGCTCGCCTGCAGCCGCCTCTGGCTACGAAATGATCGAAGACTCTGGCCCCGGCTCAGTGCCACAGCCAGCAAAGCCGAATGGAGACACCAAGCTGGAATATGTCGAGCAGAACATGCTGTCCGAGAAGAAATCTGTTGTCGTTGCTTATCTGCTCTGGCTGGTTGGCGGAATTTTCGGCCTGCATCATTTGTACTTACGTCGCGATCGTCAGGCGTTCCTCTGGTGGTGCTCCCTTGGCGGTTATCTGGGCGTCGGCTGGCTGAGTGAGATATTTATGATACCCGAATATGTGCGCGACGCCAATGAGGATCCGCAGTATTTGAAAGTGTTCATTGCCAAGATGCAGGCCTATCCGCGCCCGCCCTACTCGTCCAAGCGCTTTATGGGTCAGATTATGTTTGGCTACCTGTTTGGCCAGCTGTTCAGCTCGGCCATACCGCAGTCTATCACCGGCGGCATGGACTTAAGTTGGCTGCACTGGTTCATACCCTTGTTCGTGTCACTGGGCGTCTGGACCGTTGGCAATATTGGGCGTGAGTGCGGCATTTGGTGGCCGTGCTTCGCCGGCGCTTTCGTTGGCTATTTGGCGCGCTTCTACATCTACGATGAGACCTATTCGCTGCTGGTGACGTCGCTACTGTCTGCTCTGGTCTTTGATAGCTTCGTGAAGCAGTGGCGCCGTACTCCGGAGCGCAGGCGCAGTAAGGGCGAACGCACACTCTATTTGGGAACTGCCGTTTGCATTTACGTTGCCATATGGAGCTCCGTGGTGCTCTTCAATGGCTCCATTACCGACGACGACGGTGGCGAAGTGCCCATTTACGAGGCGTTGCAGAACTTCCTAGCCTCCGCCTGGTGGACCGATTTGAAGCAGGCCCTGTACGACACCTACACCTATGGACAACATCATGGCTGGTACGAGACATGGCGCGAGGTCTTCGAGAGCATGGACGTGGATGGGGAGCGCACGGCTTACAAGGTGCTGGGCGTGAGCGCCACTGCCTCGCAGGCTGACATAACGGCTGCCTATCGCAAACTTTCCAAGGAGAACCATCCGGACAAGGTCAAGGACGAATCACAGCGTGAAGCTGCCCATAAGCGCTTCATTGAAATCCAGCAGGCCTACAACGTGCTCAGCAAAATCAAGTCCAACCGTCGCCGCAAGAACAACAAGTACAACGGGGACGATGCTATTAAGCTATAATTCCAGATCTGCCCAATCTCAGCTGAAGTCTGTTAAAATTTAAGGGATTTTTTTTTTGTCTACTACATTCCTTCATTAACAATAAAGTATTTATTTTTTATATATGTACACCTAGAATAATCTTAGGCATAGATCTAGACGTGCGCATGCAGCGCGGGCAATTCGTGCAGCGATATCTTTTTGCCTGACTAATTGCAACGTGACGTGGCGACGTGTCGAGGTAAAAGACAATTACAGCACGGCTCGGTTAAATGTAGAATCGTTAAAACTAACGCTCAACGCCAACCCCCTCCCAGAGTATATTATATAATATATTTATGTATGTATATTTTAAGTAAACATCAAGCAACACCTTTTTGTGTTGATTTAAAAGTTTGAATCTCAAAGTACTCTATATACATAACTGAGGTTGTACAGCTCAAGTTCTAGTAAATCATAATCAATAATTACAATTAAAACTAGATAACTAGACTAGATAGCCTTACTACTTGTAATATCCCTTGAAAATGTGCAATGTTAAACTTAGAGCAGAAAAAAAGGACATGTAGCCTATAAAGTTCTTATATATTGTTCGGATTGATGAATGAACTGCGTATAGACATACATACATATCCATTGCCCAGATCTATAACGATTTTATATACATACATATATTATTATTGTATATCTCACACACTAAAAGTTTGTACAATATTTATTTTATTTTTTTTATAACTATTCTTTTGCATTTGGTATTGATAATAATCGCTTTGCACTGTAAATTCTAAAGATTTTGTGTTCTTATCCTTCACAATCCAAATCCCTTATTACCGTTATATAAAAACTGTGTTCTTGGACTCATAGTTCAAATAGATTATTATCGATAACTACAGTTTTGTGTTAACATAGTTTATTATCAAAAATCAATACTTCTTGTCATTGTCCATTGTCCACAATCGATTATTATCGATAACTACAGATTTAATTTTTTAAGCATTCTGACTTTGGAGTCGGAATCAAATATAAGAAATTTACTAATACGGCGAAAATTCAAAAATTTCAAATGAAACTAAGGAAGTTCATTGGACAACAAACTTTTGGATAAGTATTCATTTTAGTTTGAAATAAAATAAAAACAGGCATTTAAAATATTTATATTCATTTATTTATTTTTATATTTTACATAATATAATGAACTACTTATTTAACTAGGCAAAAAAAAAAAAAAAAAAAATTGTATGCATTATTTATAATTTTTTGTTTTGTTTTGATTTTGTTTTTGTGTTTTTTTTGTGCATTTTTGTTTTTTACATTTGATTATATTTGCATAAAACTTTTAAATAAAACGAAAAAAAATATATGTTTGTATTTTGTGTTTATGCAACCTTATGAAAATGATAATAATTGCAATTTGAGGGAGGTTGATTTAATATTGTTTTTAATCTTTTGTTTTTGTTTAAAAAATGTTATTCCAACACGAAAATAATATTTTGTTTCTCTTCAATTTTATATATATTTTTATATGTATATCATTTTCTCTCCTTTGTCTTTTTTTTTTTTTTTTTTTTTTTGAAAAGAAAAATGTGTTAAATAAAAAAAAAACAGGGAACAATAACTCGCTTAAATATAGTTTAAAACATAATACTGAGCAAAAAATGTATTTCTCATTTCGCATGCTATATTTTTTGCTTATGCATTTATCAAATTTGTTTTAATCGCTTGCTTTCTATATTTGTATGTATATAAGTACATACTACATACATATATACATATATATAGTATAAATATATATACATATTTATAGTATATATAGTTTTTATATATTTTGTTTTCTTTTTCGACTGCTTATAATTAATAATTAAGTTTAACATTAGTTTTCGCGGCCAGTTTTTAGTTTAGTTTAGAAATTTGACTATTTTGTGACTGTGTGCACTCGTGTCGGTGTGTGTGTGTGTGTGTGTGTGTGTGTGTGCATTGTGAGTGTGGCTGATTATCACGTTTTGTTGTTTGATTGTTTTCTTGTGGTTATGTATACAAGCAAAAAAAAAATTATTAAAAAAAAAAATTTGTATATATATTGATTTAATGCTAGTATTTAAAATAAAATAACAAATTAATAGGCATATTAACACACATACTGCTGCAGCATGTGTTGCCAGTGTGCGTGGTGCTTGTGCATGTGTGTGTGTGTGCGGCTCTCTTACATTTAACTAACACACCTTTGCTTGCTTCTTCTTCGCACACTCTGTAAAGTTGAAGACGCCCTCTGTCGTCAATTGCTATAAACTTGCGGATGCAGTCGTCGATTGGCTGCTAACATTTTTTGCATATGTACAAACGAAACTTGTGCAGGACACACACACACACGCACGCACACAGACATATTTATATTAAAATTTATAGCTATGTATAGAGGCACTGGTGTGTGTGTGCGCTTGTGCTAGCTTGTTGGCCTTTTGTATTGAATGGATTTGGGAAGGGGGAATGTACTAAGTACTACGACAACTACAACGACAAAGTGCTCGGACGCGTCGCCGATGGGCCGACGAAATGTGTGAGTGCGCCTCCAGTTATGCAACAGTGTGCGTGTATGTGTGTAAGTGTGTATTTGAATCTATGTTTAACATTTTTTGCACTCGTGTTTGATTAACAGAATTGCGCACTGTTAAGCGTTAACAGTTGATGCTGTTGCAGCCGCAACGACGTCGTCGCCGTCAGCGAAAATAAACAAAAAGAACGTACAACAATTAACAAATGACGATTATTACAGGCGCGTGACTACAATATCTTCCTCGAGATCGTCCAGCTCATCATCGGTCTCCTCGACGGCGTCGCCGAAGCCATTGTTGGTCTCGGCGGCAGCGGCAGCGGCTGCTGCAGCAGCCGCAGCCTCCTTCTCCTTCTCGGCAGCCTCGAGCTTCTCCTGCTTCTTGATCTTGCGTTGCTGTGGGGAAGGTAATTGAAATTCCATTAGAATCATGTCTCCATTTGCACTGGGACCTCGGGAACTTACCTTCTTTCTGTACAGAATCTCCACAATGACGTAGCCAATGCAGCCGAGCGTGAGGACAGCCAACAGAATGTAGAGCTTCATGCGGGTGCAGAGCGTTGTGGCATAGGCATAGGCGATGACGAAGCCAGCCGACTCCCAAAGGCGATAGTTCGAGAAGGCGGCCTCCTTGTTTCGCCTGAAGAGCAGGCCGTAGAGACCGTTGATCTGCGTCTGCCAGACGGCGTCGCCGACACCCCACAGGCCTGACATGGCGTAGAAGATGAGCGGATTGTCGGGATTGGGTCGCCAGAAGAGCTCGACGGAGATGAGCGTGAAGTGGACGACGGCGCCCAGCACAATGATGGGCGTGCGGCCAATGTACTTCATCACAGAGCCAAAGAGTATGGAACAGAGAGCGTTGACAACGCCAAAGCAGATCATGACGAAGCCAATCTGGTGCACGCCCAGGGCGCACGCCACATAGGCCTGGGTGAAGTCGGCGCCAATGAACGCCTGCTCCATGCCAATGAAGACGGTGATCGGTATGAGCAGCTGCAGATTGGGTTTCTTCATCTGACGGAACGTGGCCGACAGTAGCTGAAGGCCGGACAGCTCCGCCGCCGAATTGGAGCCTTTGCGCTTCTCACCGTAGCGCTTGAGGGGATCCAGGAAGAAGGCAATGATGCACACGGCGGCCACAATGCACGACAGATAGATCATGGAGATCTCGAAGATCTCGTTCTCTGGCGGACGCTCCAGGTTGCCGTGGCCGCCGGTGCCGGTGGTGCAGAAGTTGGCACCACAATACTGCAAATCCTCCTCACTGATTGTGGAATTGGCACTGCTGCTGCCACCATGTGCGCCGCTCGACAGAACTGCAAGGGAAAGAGACGAAGAGAAAAAGAGAGAGAGAGAGAGAGAGAGACAGAGAAAGGGAGAGGAAGAGATATTTAGTCATGTTGTCCAGCGCTTCATGCATTTATGTCGACTTACCCAAGCTGGAGATGAGATTGCCCCAGAGCTCGGCGGATTGCCAGGCCAGGAAGAAGAAGCCAAAGAAGCGCACAATAATGGCATCGACAGCTTGTTCAGTTATCTTAGCATACACCTGCCCAACCTGTGTCAGATATGTGGCCTTGGACGCCCACATCGGCGCCGCCCCCATACCCACCAGAATGCCAGCCGGCACGAGGGTGTAGAAGCGCGGGAACAGCTGGAAGGCAATGTACGGCGCATAGCAGAGCATGCTGCAAACGAGCGTCCATTTAACCGTCAGCTTCCGAATGATCAGCGTGGGCAGGAAGATGCAAGAGACAACCAGCGCCGCATAAATGGCACTGAGCGACACTGTGCCAAGACCATCCTTCGAGTTGATCGAGGATTGCAGATTGGCCGTGCCCTAAATAGTAATAAGAACAACAACAACAAAAAAATAGCGATTGCCAATTAGTTTGGGCTCGATTTTCTGGGCCATTGTGCGGATTTCTCACCTGGAACGCAGTGAACTGCACCATAAAGGCGATCGAGATGATTGAGATATTCTTTAAAATGCGCCATTTCTCGCCCGGATTCAGCACAACTTTCTCTCGCAGCGAGGCGGTGTCTGGCTCGAAACCAGCTTTTGGCTAAAATTATATCAAAAGAAGAAAGAGAAAGAGAAGAAAACGCATAAGCGAAAAATGAAAACAAACACAGCGCAGAGATGAACGTTATTCATTAGTGGAACTGGCCAGCGGGTGGGCCAGGAGTACGGGCTAGGGGAGGGTGCTGGAGGGTTGCTGGCGTTGCGTATGCCCAAAACGAAAATGAATGCATTCTAGACGTGGTTTAGTTCTATACTAACTAGCTAATTAAGTGTTGCAAAACTTTAAGAAAAACTGTTTTTTTTCTTTTTCATACCTTAATTTGTTTTTTTCTTTCTCAAGACCAATTAGCTTCAAGCTAAATATTTAACTGTTTTAAGATTTGTTATATTTGTCCTCATTTAAAATCGTTTTCATTTCCCGCTAAAGATCAATTAATTTTATCATATTATATAAGCCAATCGCTGGCTATCTGTAATACCTATATTAGTTATATTACCTAACTAGTTAGTGTCGTCTACTAATTAATGTTTTCACTTTTTCAACAATATTTTGATTATTTTTAGATTTTGTAAATTAAAATTGTTTTGCCTAAGATCAATTAGTTGAAATGTTCTTGATGAGCTAATCTCTGGGTATCTCTTCTTGTCTTTCTTAAGCTGTACATAGAAAGTCTCCTATTGTCTCTTATGCTATGTACATTATATATACTAATTATCGAACTAACTAATTAGTTTGTATAGCTTACTAATTAATATTTTCTATTTTTTTGCTAAATATTTTGTCTCTTTTTTGTTTTTTTTTTTTTTTAGATATTTTTTATTTGTCCTGACTTTTTTTTCCCTTAAGATGAATTTTTTTATAAGTCTCATATAAGCTAATCTCTTGTTATCTCTTCTTCTTGTTTATTCCTGGAATATGATCTCATGTGAATCGTTTATCATTCCTAATTGTTTTCTTGGAATTTGATTAATTTGTAGACAAACTTTTATTCACCGAATACGAAGAAATGCCATCCAAATTAATACTATAATTATATATATATCTATATTATAAATGAAGCTAATATTTACAGGGTATATATTGCATTGTATTTACTAGGTTTTATTACTGCACTTTGCCTGTTGACCGTTCATTCATTATTTATGTAGGTGTTGGCGCGTTGACGCTATTAGTTTCTAAAACGTAATGCATGCGTTTTGCTCGCGTTTTGTGCGCGTTTCGTGCGCGTTTGTTGCGCGCCTTACATTGCGCATGCGCGACGCGGCCTTTAAATGGTCATAAAAAATGCGCAAGGCACCTGCCAGATAACTAACTGGGCACGGTCGTAGAACTGGCCCAAAATATCTCCATATATATAGATATATATGTATATAGCGAGAGAGAGATGTATATATATATATATATATATGTGTATGTATCGAAATTGTGATTTTGCATGCGCTGCCGCAAACGCTCAGAAGGTTACAGCGCGCTCGCGGCGCCGCGGGGGCGATTTTTTCAGCGTTAACGCAATTTACGTAAAGTTTTTTTTTATATTTATATATTTTACATTTTGTTTTTTTTTTTTTTTCGGCTTTGCCTCCCCAAAGCACAAAACTGTAATTGGCATTTAACGAAGCCGTTGGCGGCGTTGGGTCCACGTCCCCTGGCCAATTAGGTGGCTAACAACAACAACAAGCGGCGTTATGCAAGCTTGAATCGATTACTGTTTTTTTTTTTGTGTGTCTTTCTGTTTTACAACAAAATCGCATGTAAGTAGTTTAAATATTATCGCATAATACGATTCCCTTGGTTCACACGCAGATTGAGGAGGAGCGCGTGATGCGCGTGGGCGGGGGCCTTAGGTCTTGGTAGGCAAGTGAAGGTGGACTGAATCTTGTTTTGTTTGTATGCAAATCACGGACACAACAAAATGTACAAAAATTCCCCGACCTTATCAATAAAAAAATAAAAGAAACAAATAAAAAAATGCTCAAAATTATCTACAAAGGTATTTTTGGAAGTGTATTATAAAAAGTTTTCTATTCGTGTAACTGTAACTGTAGCTGCTCTGGCTTTTTAGTGCTACTATTAATATTATTATTATTTATATTCATTTTGTTGTTGCGTCTTCCGAGTGTTTGTGTGTGTGTGTTTTTTGTTTTTATTTTTTTGGCATTTACAGAACAAAATTGCATTTAATTAGGTACTAAAACGCAAAAAAATGCACAGCACAAACAAGTTTTTGGCGACCAACACACAAACATAAGCAACAACAACAGAATAAAATAAAATAAGTCAAAAAAAAAAAACAAAAAAATCAGCAACAACTACAACAACAAAAGCGCGTGGCCACGTCAATGCGGCCCAGACGAATGCAATTGGCGAAATATTACTCATACGCCGCAGGTGTCAGTGGCTGAGTGGACATTGAACAGCCTGCACTAAAATAATAGCATTATAGAGCGCTACGAAATACATGTATGGACGGGGCAGAGAGAATTCTACAAGCATATAAATGCATTATATGTACATACGTGTATACATATGTATATATCTGAGCACATTTACAACTTGTATCAAAATGTTATGCTTGAGCTTCATAAGCGAAATCTCACAGATATTGCTGACTACAAACATTTGTAGCTAGTAAGAGTGCTCTAGTTGAGACTGCTCGACTACGAGATACCCAGGACTCTCCAAAGGCTAATACTTGACGTATACTTAAGGTTAAGAGAGCACGACATTCAAAATTAAAAACATAAAAGGTCTATGAATCTGAAATTTCTAGTTCTGGAAAAGACTGAGTTATTGACAAAAATATATAGTAAGCACTCGCTGCGTATAGTATACACGAGTATATATGCAAAATTGCAAATGTCTAGTATTTATAGTTTACGAGATATTTGCGTTAAAATAGATGGAGAGATGGACAATCGGACAGACAGATATGGTCATGGCTAGATCAACTCAGCTCGTTATCCAGATTAACAGTATACAAGCCGTATGGCATCTGCCACGCCTCCTGCTGCTTGTTACATACACTTGTTTAAAGAGAATATACCCCGATTCCGCATGTTCAATGGGTGTAATTGCAATTGCAATTTCATTAAGTTTCAAGAGAGTTTGCCAATTCGCAAATGAAATGCACTTAGCATAGCATAAATAACGAGCCGAATGCATGTGCTATAAATAAAAACTGGTCGACAGTTAATTCGCTCTAACTGTAAACGCCGTTCGATCTCTTTGTGGGGCGGCGCGTGCAAATCAGCTGACGTAGCCATGTCTGAATGTATGTAACTGACTGACGGCAGGTGGCGCTGCTAACAATTTGCCTAGACAACGGCCATGCACACGGACAGCCAGACAGACAGACCAACTAATATGCATATGTCGGTGTGTGTGTGTGTGTGTGTGTGTGTGTGTGTGTGTGTGTGTATGCATGAGCGACTACAACTTCAGTTCGATAATAATAATATGCATGAATTCAATTTGAATCCAAACCAAATCTGAGGCGGGCCGCTGCCCGCTGGCCAGCGCAATAACAATAATCGTGAGGCAAGTGCGAAACATGCATAAAATACCATACGATATGACAAAGAGAGCAAAGCCACAACAGCAGCAAAATCTCTGAGACTGGCAGCTAGGGAAACCAGTTACATGCCTGCCACTGGCCCGAGCGCCTTGTGGCAGTGAGAAGCGCGTAGAGCGGCGCACAGCGGCGCACGAGATTTGCGTTGTTTTATTTTTAAACTCGGCACGTTTCGTGTTTGCTTTTTGGCTTTCAGCTCTGTGCGTCTGTCGTCCCTCGCTACAAACATGCATACATACATACATGCATGCATAAATATATATATTTATATATATTTCTTTTTTACATTGACTTGACTTGACTTTACATAAATTTGTATTTGTTATTGAGTTTTGGTTATTCGCTGCCTGATTCTCTGGTTTCTTAACGTGGCACACCAAAACGGGTTTACCCATTGAGCGTTCTCGCTGCGACCCGAACTGGCTGCGGGCTATTGGGCACATTGGATGCTGAGGCTGAGGCTGAGGCTCTGGCTCTGGGTGGTGGTACAGCCACACGATTACAATTATAAATGAGCAATATTTTTATTATTGTGAAACCAATTGTGCAATAAGATTGGATTTTATATGGCACACGCAGACAGATCTAGGCTCTTGCAATTAGGACAGATCTCACACTCGGCATATACATATATGTGTATATATAGATGTATAGTTATCGGGCGTGCGTATTCGTATTCATGTTTGTCTTTGGCTCTTGAGCGCTTTCTGCTGTCACATTTCTTTTTGGCCCGGCTCGTTTTCGCGTGGGCCTCAGCGCTGTCTCTGTTTCTGAGTTTCTGGAGGTGAAATTTATTTTATGTGCTTTTAGGTAGGAGTGCCCACTTCACTTCCCTTCACTTCGATACACTCCAGCGCCCCCATGGCAGCCTGTGGCCGCCTTTAAGCCAGCAGCATCATCATTCATAATCAGCCACATCCCGTGATCATCGCACGCACACATATGTATACATATATAGGTATGTATGTATGTCTGTGAGAGGTGAGCTGCTTTTGAATACTTCCTTATTTATTATATACATATATATCTTTTTTATTAGTATTGTTTTTTTCTCTTTTTTTTTGGGGCACATCATAAATTAGTGTGACGCGTGTCATTATTATAAAACATGATTTCTTGGCGAAGGCAAACACAGTCATTAGCCAGCAGACATATTGTAATATAATAGACAATCTAATATGCATATACATACATACTATTTGTAGGTATATGTGTACAGTCTCTGCCTGAATGAACTCAACAATTATCGCTATTCTAGTCTAGCTAAGAATTTTGTCTCGCTTTTATTCTTACAATGTTGTTCTATATATGAGCCAGTCTTACAGCTGATTTTTATTACATTCCGTGCAAATATAGACATACATATTCCAATATATATTCATTTGAATTGGATTATATTGTAATCTTTGTTGCAAACTTGTTTCGTGCTCAACAAGCGCTGTGCAATCGATACGTACATGATATATATACACACATATGCATTCATATATGTATGTGTATATCTCAATGATCTCGCGGCTATAAACAATAGGTCAAGAAATGCATTTGCTTGAAATCAGTTAACTACTTCTCGTTCTATCTAATGCGAAAGGTTTCACGTTTTCAGATTTATTTCCATAATATTTTTTTTTAATTCATTTTTTTTGCAATGCGTACATTGACTTTTGTGAAGGCCTGTGAGCCGGATATGTAATGTTCAGCCTCATTATCTATGTCGCCTGTCAGAGCAGATTAGTATTATTTTAAGATCACATGTAACTAGTAGAATTTGAACTGTCTGGCTATGGATGTGAAGTAATATTTTTCTAGATGTGATAGTTATATATACTATATGTATGTATATATATGTATATAATATAGTTATCTATATCATATCTAACTGTACAATCTATCTACATATATCATGTGTATCTATTAATCTATATCTATCTATGCATCTATGTATATCTATATGTACCTATATCATGTTTCACACTATTTGATATCTAGGTTTTTATATCGTATATATCTATATCCAAACTTTCTATTTATATCATATCTATCTACATAATTTTTATTTATTTCATATGTATATAAATTATATATCGATCTATATCAAATTAAATATATATGCCGAGTATAATAATTTCCTTACATATGTACATACATCTAGAAGTTATAATCAAAACTTTGATCCATCAAATCTATTCTTTTTGTAAGCAAATAGGTATTTCAATTTGAGGTTCAGCTATTGGATTCAACAGGAATACTTAGAGAAAGATAATTTTCTACAAAATTTCTAGGCATTCCTGTAGGCGCTATCCATGGGCAACATCATGGGGATCGATATGCTTAGCACTCACCTTGACGGGCTCATCGTTCTCGAAGCCAGCGTTTGTAAAACCAGTCATCTTGGCTGGCTTTGTGTGTTCTCTGAGTACTCCGATTTGGTTAAGTTGCCGGTGAGAGAGAGATACAGATAGAGATATAGAGAGACCGTGGTGGGGATGTTGCTAATCAATTGGGCGGCTTTAATGCTTTCTGTAATGAGAAGAACGAGAGAACAAGATGTTGAATAGAAGCCATTAGGCAATTATAAAGCGATTTGCGAGACAAAGTCAAACCAAAACGGGCAAAAAGATCACGTGTTGCACACAGACAAGACACACACACATACATATATGTACATATACATAGTATGCACATGTATGTGTACATGATTATTATTTAAATTGAAAACATATTAGAAGCAACCATTGAGATGGGCAGTAATAAGCCAAGCACGAGCTGTTATATGGGTAGGTGGAGAGACATATCAACCGATGTATATATGTATATATATATATAGGTTTATATACATATATGAAATATGTGCGCCATGGCATGTGTAATACTATAAGCACAACAATGACAATGACAATAACAATAACAATAACAATAATAATATTATTTATTATTAGCAACACAAACGAGAGACATTAGCTGGCAGACTTTTCATTATTGAAATTGTGGCCATAATTGTTGCTGTTGTTGCTGTTGTTGCTGCTGCTGCTGGGATTTTCGTAGACAAATGATATAATTTGATTGGATTGAATTTATTTTGTTTTGGGTTCATAGTTTTTTTTTAATTCTCATTTTTTTTGTGTATAGACTGTCAAGTGTGACGACCAGCCGAACGAATGTGTGTGTGAGTGTGTGTGTGTGTCTGTGTGAAGTGTATATTGTATAATGTATATTATATATCAGTTAATTTTCGGTTTCAATTTTCATTATTCGTATCTCTAATATGATTGATTCGGTTTGCTGAATGAACGCAAATTCTATTAGCTTTGATTTGGCTTGACTCGAGTCAAATTCTAATCAATTTATAGATCAGCTATGGACAGTGATGGGCATTAGCCATAGGCATTCAATTAAGCTTATATCCCACAGACACTCAATATCGATTTGAGGATCGGGCAGGTGATCAGAGTGACCATGAAATGGCATTAATTAGCAACAATTTTGATAGCATCACTAGCTGATATGTAATTATGGGATTAGGCCAGACATTGATCACATTGCACATGCTCTTAATGAGCTACTAATATGCCTGAACCCGGAACCAAGTGACCATGGAGGACCGCTAATTAAAATCAATTATTTGCATACGTGATGCATATAGAGGCTCCATTGTGTGTCCAGCCCAGCTCCCATTATAATAGATGCGTGTGTGTACATGAATATACATATATCTGAATCTATATCTATATACACATATATGTATGTACATTCGTATTCCCATAATCTGTCTAGTATTTTGCCATTGTTCTGCTAGTGCTGTAATTAGCTGCTGCTCGCGCCAGTTCAAGTTCATGTTTCCTGCTAGCTGTATTTTTATTTTTATTTTTAGCTTTTTTATTTTGTGAGATATAAATGTGTAGAGTCGGACAGGTGGACAGGTGGATAGATGGGCAGGTAGACATCAATTAATTGCATATTAGTAGTATGCCGCATACACAATTATTCACACAGGTACACAAAGCATAAGGCTTCGCTTGTCGCTTCAATGAAGCGATAAGCATCGAGCTAAACACTTTTATGGCCCGTCTATAAACAACGACTGCGGACAAAATGAGATGGCATAGATATTCTTAAAACAAAATATAACATCTAATAAAATAAAAGAAAGAAAAAAAAAAAAATGATGAAGACGAAGAAGATGAAAACATATTGCCGAAATTAACATAAAAATCCTCCAGCTTATGGCTTTTAATAAGACGAGCCGCGCCGCAGTCGCGGCTTTATAATTTGTTAACAACAAATTAATATTTATGTATGCAAAAAACGCAAAAAGTCGACACCGCCGAAGAGGAAGAGCTCCAACTCATAGAATTAGCAACGAGCTTGTCGCCCAAAGAGGAGCTGCGAGTGGTTCGGGTACAGACAAATTTGTAGATTTGTAAATTTGTAAATTTGTGAATTTGTAAATGTGTAAATTTATGAATTTTCAATTTTGTAAACTTGAAAATTTGTGAATAATAATCATAATTTTTTGTAAGCTCATACAGGTTTTTTATCTATCTATCTGTCTGTGCCCAATTGGAATTCCGAAAAAATGCAAAGCAAGCGGGCAGTGAAGGCATTGCAATAGAATGTTGAATCACTGTTAAGCTGACTTAACACTGCTAAGCAATGTTAATGTTTACACACTAATAACATGCTGTTGAAGGCAATGCTAACATGAATGTTGATTTGCTAACAGCAGGCAGCAATGCTAATGAAGTCATACACTGCTAACAGCAATGTTAATGCTAAGCCGGCTTAACATGGAAGTTGATTCGCTAACAGCACACAGCACTTTTAATAAATTACACGTATGTTAAATATTTATTAACATGTCCTGAACAGCAATGTTTATGTTAAACTGAATCAACATCTACATATATTAACACGCTAGCAGCATGCAACACGTTAAATGAAATCACACGACTGTTAACTCTACAGTAACATACCGTGAACAGCAATGTTAATGTCAAAGTCACTTTACATGTATGTTAATTAGTTAGCAGCATACAACACTGTTAATAAAGTCAACAGAATGCTAACTCGCCAACATTGCATTCCATTCCATGACATTGCATGCTGTTAAAGTCAATGCTAGATCCTCAGCTCAGATCACTCAATCAATGGATCAGTGGAGCTGAGCTGCAGACTGGACTGGATTGCATTGGCAGTTGGTTGTTGGTAGAACTCCGTTTGGCTTTGTAAATGTCAACTTAGCTGTGTCTGTAATGTCGGTTACAGAATTTATAAAATGTGCTGAAAATTGCACACCGTGATTCCCGGGCCAGATGCAGGCTCAAGTACTGTTAGCTAGCTGTGGAATAGGTATTAAACTATTAAAAATTATTATACGGCATCTGTGTGTCTGTCTCTGTCGGCGTGTGTGTGTGTATGTGTGTGAGCCTGTGTGTGCTCCCGCTGGATACAATTACCATTTCCAAGGAGCTGGGTTGGAACAGGGGTAGGGTTGGTTTTGGGGCTGGCTCTGGGACTGAGGGCACTTTTATTATAATATATTATATTCCATTATCATTATTACTATATTATTTTTGCTAGCATGCACTTAACAGAGTCTCTGCCTCATGTGCTCAATGTTTATGGGCCAAGTTAACGAACAGTCAAATATTTTGTCTGTGTATGCGTATGCGTGTGTGTGTGTGTGTGTGTAAGTGCTTACGGCGCAATAAACGTGCACGGCTATCCGCCAGAGCCGGTGCTCAAAAAAAACCGCGTGCGAAAATAAAAAAGAATATGAAATCAAATGGAAACGGGCTATTAATAATAATAATAATAATAATACATGCTACAACAACAACGATAACAGCAGTAGCAACAACAACAACAACAGCATAAAGAACTTGCTTCTGTTACCGCTTCGGCTGCAACAAATACAAACAGACAAACAGCAGCCGCTGTCGATGATTATAATAATGATGATGACGATGATTATGATTATGACGATGTTGCTGCTGACGTCAATTTTGCTGGGCGAATTGACGAAACTCTCACAGCTTGCAAACGCCACTTGCTCTACCTGTTTACCCTATGCTCTAAGCCCACTTTTAACGGGAAAAATGGGGAATTTTTCGAAATACCCTGACATTCATAGATGAGGAGGTATGATAGAAGAGAGAATCTGGGAGGAAGAGAGAGCGAGAGAGAGAAGAAGGCGTCAGTGTGAGAGAAGGAGAGAAGATGGAAGAAAGGAAGGGAGCATACCTTCCATACTAATTATTTGTGTATATGGAACATACATAGATTATAGGAGAGAAAGAGAGAGAGAGAGAGAGAGAGATGGAGAGGGGGGGAGGACAGGGATAGTGAGAGAGAGAGAGAGAGAGAGAGAATGAAAGAAAAGACAGGAAGAACAACTCCAGTAATATAGGCGTCTATAGGTATGTATATAAATATAAGAGGATAAAGGAGATTACTAAGGAATTTAAGAAGAGAATGCAATACCGAATATATACATAAGTTTGTATGGATATTAGAGAACTTTGAAGATCGGAAAACAGTAAAGAGAAGAGGACTCAAACTCCATATGAATAGTATATATAGGCACTATGATGATCTCTGGGTTCCAGCCTCTACATATGCAGTGTAAATATGCGCACCTAAGTACATAGCTGGCAGACAGGGCAAGTGATTTGAACGGTCTACAGGGTATCAACCTGTCACATGCCCGGTTCCCGGTTCGGGGCATGCGCGGTCGTAGCGCACGTGTTGGGCTAGGCACACATTATACTGTGCATGAGTGCTGTGCGATTGATATTGTAATTTCTGGTATTTAATTGCGGCTTTTGCGGTTGCCGGCCTTTGGGGATTTTTGTTTTTTATACCCTGAACCCATTTTCAATGGGAAATCAGGGTATAATGGTTTTGTTGAAATGTATGTAACAGGGAGAAGGAGGCGTGGCAGACCCCACAAAGTATATATATTCTTGATCAGGGTGACGAGCTGAGTTGATTTGGCCCTGTCCGTCTGTCTGTCCGTCTGTCCGTCTGTCCGTATGTATGAACGCGTCGATTTCAGAAGATATAAGAGCTAGAGACTTCAAATTTTTTTAAAATGTCCGTAATTACAGCGCGCATATCAAGTTTATCATTAAAAATCGATAACTCATCTCGATCTTTTTTTATCGATAAAAAACCTTATCGAAACCCAGTTATAAAATTATATCTTCTACACCTTTATTGCTAGAGACTCCAAATTTTTAATGTATGCCTATATGCAATTTATACAATTTCGGTTTTTGTTAAAATTTACCCCCCACCTCTAAATTCTCCCCCCTCACCCTCACTTTTGTAAAAAGCGTATTTCAAATACTAGAGACTTGTGCTTTGGCAATTACATGCATATTCATGTTATAATCATAATCTAAAAATTTCATGAAGATCGTACGTCCATAAAAAAAGTTATTAAACAATTAAGTTCTCATAGTAAGCGCACACTGCAGCCCATGCGTGTTTATGCGTGGTTGCTTGTGTGTGTATGT